TGACTTTTCAATATAAAAAATTAAAATAGCAGTGAAATGCAAATTATATAGACAACAAAATAAAAATTTGTAAATAAAAATAATAATGATTATAAACCATAACAACGAATACTGAAATTCTAAAAATAGACGATGAAAATCATAACTTTCAGCAAATCAAAGGAATGAAAAGGTAGTTTACTCCAAGAATAATATCCTAAACAATGAAAAAGATGATTATGGAGAAAAGTGTAGCCATGAATCATATAGTCATGACCCATATACATCTGCATTATATATATATATATACATATATATATATATATATATAGGGGAGCGATCAAATGCAAACCACTCAATTTGTACAAACCGTGCAAACCGCATTCAACCAATAATAATTTTTCATTTTGTTCATTTTTTTGTAATTATGAGAGGTTTATTAATCATTTTTATTGTGGAGGGTGTTAATCATAGATATTATCATCTTCATTATTTTAATTTTAGAGAAATACATGAAACAGTTTCATTAATGTTAGAGAAATACATGAAACAATTTCATTAAGTATTATATGAAACAATTTCACAACCATATATGAAACAACTTCATCAAAAAAAGTATTATATGAAATAATTTCACAAGATTAAACAATTTCATGAAAAAATTTCATAAGATTAAACAATGAAATCGACAGATGAAGGTGGTTTGCACGGTTTACACAAATGAGGGCGGTTTTCATATGATCACTCCTATATATATATATATAGGGTTGGGTTCACGTGAGACCAAGAGTTTTTCGTGAGACCCGTAAGACCAATTCTCAACCCTTGGATTAGATCTACAATCGTCAGATCTAAACATTCATAAACGCCACGAGAATTCTCAATAATTACAAAATTGCCACTGTACAACTTTAAACCATTAGATCATTAGTTTATAAAGTTGATCAATGAATATAAATTGGTCTTACGGGTATCACGAAAAACTCTCGATCTCACGTGAACCCAACCTTATATATATATATATATATATATATATAGAGAGAGAGAGAGAGAGAGAGAGAGAGAGAGAGAGACTTGGGATCATATGAGACCAATGTTTTTTTTGAGACCCGTAAGACCAATTCTCAACCCTTGGATTAGATCTATAATCTCAACATTCTTAATCACAAAATTTGCCACGAGAATTCTCAATAATTACAAAATTGCCACTGTACAACTTTAAACCATTAGATCATTAGTTTATAAAGTTGATCAATGAATATAAATTGGTCTTACGGGTATCACGAAAAACTCTCGATCTCACGTGAACCCAACCTTATATATATATATATATATATAAAATAAATGGCACAAACGAAACTTATAAATCAATATAAGACTTTGTCCAAACTTAAATATTATACAAAATAAATAATAATGAAAACTTATTCATTTCTTTTTATAAATAATAGAATAGTACTCGTGCAATGCAGCGAGATAAATCTTCGTTTTAATGTTTAGTTTTTATTCTTTGTCTCTATCGATATAATACGATTTATGTTATTTTTAGAAAACGATAATGTTTTTATTTTTAAATGAAATATAAATTTGAAGCTAACATAAAAATTTGAGTATCAAATTAACTATTTAATAGTTCTCGTTTTTTTGGTGTAATTTCTTTAATTCAATATTTTATTATAATTTAATTTAAATTTAATAACAAAGTAATTTATTTTTTGTTTAATAATATAACTTTTTAGAAAGATAATGATTAAACATTTTGTTAGAACTCAATGGTTATCTTAATTATATTTAAGATTTTTCAATATTTAAAATGAATGTTTATTCTGTATTTGATTATGTTTATCTGCAGTTAGTTACGTGAATTTAAAAATGAAGCTTTAATCGGTTGTACTTATGCAAAATTACTTGTAATCTAGAATTTTAAGTAATATGTATCAATAAATAATACTTTATACATAAAAAATGATTTTTAAAAAATATATTACAATCCTAGTATAGATTTTCAATACTAAAACAAAAATAGAATGAGAAGTGATGAGAGAGTATAATAATTGAAGAGGCCTTGCATGCATGATTTGTAAATGTTGGGGTAGCTAGATCTAGCATACATGGTATGTATGTATGTATGTATGTATGTAAAATCTAGAGACAAAATCGATACATTTCCATGACAAATTGACCTGGAAGATTCTTACTTCACACTCACTCATATTTACATGTGCTTTCTTCCTACCTTTTTATTATTAATTTATTATCTATTATTTATTATTATTAGATTTCAATTTTCTTTTGTTATTACCCTTTTGCCATAAAATATAGTAAATTATACTTGATGAAAAAGAAAGGGGGGTGCTAATGGCACCCCTTATAGGGGGGTGTTGAATGTATTGAAAATTGAAATGAGTTTGAAATTCATAAACATCAAATCAATTTTAAAAATATATTATATTTAATTATTATTAGTATTTAATATATATATATATATATATATGTGATTATTAT